GGGAAAGAGAGATCAGAGCATCATCAATATTCGATGAGGTAATATATGAGAATTATCCAGAATCGATGAAAAACACTGACCTAAGGATTTAAAACTCCCAGTGCATCGCAAGCAGGGTAGATTGAGAAAGAACCCAAACCCATCGAATCCTCACGAATCTGCACTGCACCAAAGACACAGACCAGCTTAAAGCAGTGAAATGAACAGAGTGCATTCTCATGAGTGACAGACTGGACTCCCCCTTATCAAGAGCAATCTTGGAAGCCTGAACCCCAGAATATGAGCAAAGGAAGCAGAACATCCACCATGCATCCAGCCTGGTGCCCCCTCCTGGGTAAAAATAGACAAACTGGACTGAACTGCTTACAGTCGCATACGCGAGCATTAAAATCCTTTTTTTTTTTTTTAAAGCGAGACGTTATTTTCACCAGAATTGGAGTAGCTCATAGGACCCCCAAGAGGGAAGAGACGGGTCCTGTGCCAGGCAGCCTACGAAAGGGGGCTCTTGGGTACTTGGGGTGCCGGACTTCTCGGAGCGGCTGGCGGTTGGCGAGGCATCCACTTGACAATTTCTCTTTAAATTGTATGTACGTATTTTAGATGCTTTTCTGTATGCATAGCTTACATTTTTTAAATGTAAAAGAATTTTTCGAAAAAGCATGAAATAATATCAAATACTTATTAAAACATCAAATTCTAGAGAGAAGATAATTTTCCAGACTTGGGATCTATAAAATAAAAATGACACCCACACCCACACCCACACACACACACACACACATACACAGAGTTAGATTTCACTAAAGAAAAATTTGGAAGCTTTGTGTGTGAAAAAGGCAATAAAATTCAGATAATTTATTAAAATACGTGTTGCAAATTTGACAGGTCGCATATCTTATACTTACGATGCACATAATTTAATTTTAAAAACTCTACAAGCAAATGATATTTCATTCAGGAACAAAATATTTAGTAAGTACATGTATGACGTATGTCTATACTCCTTGTAAATGATGAAATGCAAATTAAAATGAGGGCGTTTTTTTGGTTCACCCGGCATATAGGATAAATTAACGGTATTGCCGATCGTGACAAGATGAGCTGTCTCAGACACTGTTACATTTGTGCAAGTTATAGCCATTCGGAAAAGCATAATTTATCAAGGATCGTAAAATATTCATAACCTACGACGTGGTAAATTTATTCGTAAGAGTTTTTCTAGAGAATTCATTCAAAATACAAAAAGAGATTTAGGTATGTAGAGATAATGATGAAGCATCATTTATCATGGTAAAACATGGAAGGCAGGCGAGCCTCTATCGGCGAGGACGTCCACACTAGCCATGTGCAACGTGCCGTTTCAGTCACTAAATTAACGCTTCGCTCGTCCACCATGGCACTTTTTTCGTCGTGTGTGTATGCGTGCCTATGGCATCACAAGACAGCAAATTATTCAGCCATCGAATGACTATTGGCAAATCTATACAATAATACATATAATACGTAAAACGCTTACAACAGCAAGTGCCATTGGAAAAGAAACTCTAGGCACACGAGGAATAGACACTTACAAAACGTGTATGGAAACCCCAGGCACATCGTGATTACAACTGGAACCACGGTTCAGCGTTCACAGGCAGAAATCCTGGCCCAGCAAACGCAGAGATGCTGACCCTGTTTTTGTCAGGGCGTAATGATTATGCACGATCTTTTCCTTCTCCGTGTTCTAGAGGGCAGCAACGTTATTACGCCATCCTCGAGTGGGAACATTAATTAATAATGAAACATCGCAGAGACCTCAGTTTGCATTTTGCTTAGATCTTTTGTACTCTCGTTTTTGTGAGGGCCGACACTGTACAATTCACTCTTAAGACTTAGGATATTTATCAACATGAAGCAGAGAGTCTAAAACTCTTGTTGAAATAAGTATTTCAACAGAGCCAGAGGTATTTAGCCTTCGGGCCTGTGGACAGACAGAGCGGCACCGGTCATGGTCCTTTTATATAACCAAAAAAAAAAAAGGGAGGGGAACCCACCGCCCGCAGAACACATGCGGGAGACACCCCCTGATTCTGCTCTCCTGATCTAGAGGGATATTTCGTGCCGGCGCCGCCGATACCCGATTACGGTAGCTTTCGGAATCCACCTCGAGATCGGATGCCGTAAGTCCTCCGAATTTGCATCGGTCACAATTCCAGCCTTTACGATGTTCAAGGTCACTTCTACATAGCGATAGTCTTGGAGGTGCAGGGGTCGTTCAAGATTCCTTAGAAAAGGTGATGTTTTTCAAGAAGCAGAGTAACATCTACTTTTTGGCGACTGTAGGTTTTGGAAAGGGAGAACCATTTCCTTTATGTTCTGCCGATGTCGCTTCCGCCCATGGTCAGAGTGGTCTGTGGTTTCGGGAGCAACAGGAATTAAAAGGTCAATAATCACCATTTTCCATCTCCTGTGTTGAAGAGTCGGTTCAAAACTTTTGCCAGTCGGCCGCTGGGAAGGGCAGGGAGTGGTGTTTGACTTGCTGTTGAGTTTTAAAGTTCTTTTTACGTTATAGCTAGAAGTCCTTTGTGGAATATGTTTTGCAAATGACATTTCAAGTCTTTGTCTTGCCTTTACGTTCATTGTACGGCAGCGTCTTTTGAAGAGCAAATGTTTTGAATTTTCACGAAGTCAAATTTAACGACTTCTTTTTTGTTTACAATTCTAGCTCTTAGTGTCCTATTTCCGAAGCTCTGCCAAACTCAAGGTCAATAAGATTTCCTCTTACGTTCCCTTTGAGAAATTTTATAGTCCGAGTTAGGTTTCTGATGGATGTCGATTTTTCTATGCGATGTGAAATAAGCGTCGAGTTTGTCTTGTCGTTTTGTTTATTGTAGATGGCTATCCAGTTGCTCCGGCACCGTTTGTTGAAAAAATTGTCCTTTACCTCACTTAGAGGAAAGGTGTCCTGTCACCTGCAGGCTGTCATTTAAAATCAACTCGCCCCGTGTGTGTCGGTCTATTTCTGGACTCCCGTTTTTCTCTTCTATTGATCTAAATGTGTCTTTTGTGCCAATACCATCAATACCTGATGACGGTAGCCGTGTGATTAGTCTCGAGATCGGATATCGTGAAATGTGAAATCCGAGTCGGTTCAAAACTTTTGCCAGTCGGCCGCTGGGAAGGGCAGGGAGTGGTGTTTGACTTGCTGTTGAGTTTTAAAGTTCTTTTTACGTTATAGCTAGAAGTCCTTTGTGGAATATGTTTTGCAAATGACATTTCAAGTCTTTGTCTTGCCTTTACGTTCATTGTACGGCAGCGTCTTTTGAAGAGCAAATGTTTTGAATTTTCACGAAGTCAAATTTAACGACTTCTTTTTTGTTTACAATTCTAGCTCTTAGTGTCCTATTTCCGAAGCTCTGCCAAACTCAAGGTCAATAAGATTTCCTCTTACGTTCCCTTTGAGAAATTTTATAGTCCGAGTTAGGTTTCTGACGGATGTCGATTTTTCTATGCGATGCGAAATAAGCGTCGAGTTTTTCTTGTCGTTTTGTTTATTGTAGATGCCTATCCAGTTGCTCCGGCACCGTTTGTTGAAAAAAATTGTCCTTTACCTCACTTAGAGGAAAGGTGTCCTGTCACCTGCACGCTGTCATTTAAAATCAACTGACCCTACGTGTGTCGGTCTATTTCTGGACTCCCGTTTTTCTCTTCTATTGATCTAAATGTGTCTTTTGTGCCAATACCATCAATACCTGATGACGGTAGCCGTGTGATTAGTCTCGAGATCGGATATCGTGAAATGTGAAATCCGATCCGGTGCAAGAAGTGAGTACCTGCCCACGTGCGTGCGTTCCGCTCCGGTCCCCACGCCGCCTTCGTGCTGAGACACAGCTGCGCGGAGGCCGGGTGGCGTTATCAGCGCTCACCGCCTTCGTCACCCCGATGTCCAGTCTGTGTTTGTGGGGAGCGTTATGCCTCTTGCACGGGTACGAAACTCCGTTCCTTCCGTGCTCAGCGGGTGAGGCTGCCCTTCCTGTGCACGTTCCCTTCTCCCCGTCCTGGGCCTTGGCCTCGCTGATGTTCCCCACACAGGAGGTAGCGAGGGTCCACCCAGTGCGTGCCACCAGGTAAGTGACAGGCTGGAGAGGGTCCACCCAGTGCATGCCACCAGGTGAGTGACGGGCTGGAGAGCAGTTGATGCAGCGTCAGTATCTTGCCGCCTGATTTGCCTGGTGGCCCAGAGTCACTGAGAGAAAACTAAGCGCGAGCTTTACGGTGGCTTTGTCTCCACAGAAGGATGTCTTAAAGTCGGATCTCGTCGTCTGCTCGGTGGCCGCCGTGCTGTCCTTCGCGGTCAGTGCCAGCACCGTGTTCCTGTCCTTGCGAGTACGTATCCCGCCTCCTGTGCTCCTTAATGCGGGAGCCCGCGGTGGGGCGCTGGGCGCCCACGGGGTCGCGGGCCCGAGGATGAAAACGAGGCCCCGTTGCGGGGGTGGCAGCAGGACACCCGGGCGCCGCGAGGCGTCACCGCCCAGGCGGGGTGTGGCCCCATCAGCCGCGGCTCGGTGGCTGCACACTTCCCTGCTTCCCCCTGGGGCGTTTGGTTTGCAAGAGCGAGGGCACATCTTGGGGACGGCGTGGAGATAGGACGGCCGGGGGCATGCGGAGAAGGGAGGGAGGTGACACCACAGCCCGGGTCCCGCAGACGGGCCGGACGCTGCCGGAGGACCGATGCGGAGGACCCGCCGCGGGCCGCGGGCTCGGGGTTCTTGCAGGCGGCGCCGGCCCCGTGTGCAACGCTGTGCGTTTACACACTCCCCGGGGCGGGAGGACGCTGGACAAGTGTGGTCGGGGTCCCCTCCGCCTCTCAGGAAGGAGAGTGGCCCCGTGGGTGGGGTCTCGGCCTTCGGCTCAGAGCAGGTCCAGGACCAGGACGGGAACCATCATGTCTCTGTCCTGCGGGGAGCGGGGGAAGGACGGTCGCGCCTGTCGCTGGCCCCGGAGCCGGGGGGTCACGCGCGCCTCTCTCCCCGCAGCCTCTCCTGGGCATCGTGCTCTCTGTCCTGGCCGGCGCCGTGGGCTTCGTGACCCACCAGCTGCTCCCGCAGCTCCGCAAGCACCACCCGTGGATGTGGATCTCGCAGCCCGTGCTCAAGAGCAGGGAGCACTGGCAACAGGAAGTGACCGGTGAGCGACGGGCCCCGGGAGGAAGGGCCGGGCGACGGGCCCGCGGGGACCGGAGGCGGGGGCCTCGGCCACACGCCCGCGCTCAGACCGGGGACGGTGCCGCCGTCCCACTGCACGTGACCCGCCCCCAAGGTCCGCCGGGACTGTCCCCAGAGCGGGAAAGCGGACGCGGGGCCCGCACGGCGGGTTTGTGGAAACAGAGATGGGCTCTTAGGGTTGCGGGACGATCAGTTCCTGTCACTCCTGGCTTCTGTTGACGAGGAGGAGAGGTCGTCAGCACGGGGCCACCCTCCCATCCACCACCAAACGGGGGGTGGCAGAGGCTGACCTTTGACTTCCAGGACCCCGACCCCTTGGGTTTTGCTCACCTGGCTTTGCTCACTGAGACCGACACCTGCACTTGACCCAGTGAGCTGTCCTGGGCTGACCCCGGGCCACCCGGTAGTGACAGTGCTTCCGGGTGAAGAGCCTCTGAGGAATGGCTGTGCCCGGTGTCCCCAGCTCTGTGACCGAACAGATGGCAGAGGGCGGTTTATCCCTGTCTGCGGACACCCCAACGTGTCTGGTCACAGTTTGCGACTAGCCCATGGTGCTCATTCTGCAGCGTCTCTTGCCCGCTGTAACTTCTCTGTCGCTGGGCGAGCTCTGCGGCCCCCTCCATGTCCAGGGACGTGGGTGTGGGAGTGGCGCCAAGGTCTGCGGGCTCCGGGGGCGCCGGGCTCAGCCACGTGTGTCCTCATCGTGACTTCAGTCGACCAGTGTGGCAAACGGAAACGCAGGGACATCAATACAAAGGCGCAGAGCAGGCACTTCGGGCGCCGTCGGGGGAGGAGCGTGGCTTCGGGGAGCGTCTCTGGAGGGCGCCAGGGGCTGCCTCGACCTGACGCGGCCGCCTCCGGGGACCGTGGAGCGTTCCGTGGGGGAATCAGAGCAGCGGGAGCTCGGACTCACCCTCCTCACCCGCGGTCTGGAGGGACGTGGGGTCAAGCGTCACGATGCCCTTCGCTTCCGGCGCCTCTTAAACGCGAATTACGGAAACCAAGGTAAACGAGGCCCCGAGTCGGTCCGATTTATCACGGTCAGTTCCTTTCACCGGCCACTTGCAGGGAGAGGCTCATGCCGACAGGTGTCCGCACGTGCATGGGGGGGAAACTGAGGAAAAGCTGAATTCCACAGCGCTTCTGCAGGGGCGAGGTCGTGTTCCCCGGCAGAGCCTTAGACAGACGACGTTTTGGTGACGTTAGCGGAGTCCTCGGGGGGTGTTACTTTGGCGCCATTGGTAAGTGGCTGATGGAGTCTTGAGGTGCAAAGATGCTCCACTCAGGAAACCGCACACCCGTGTCACCGTCGTCAGCCTGTCCCTGCACCTGGACGCTCGGCCGCCGTGAGCGAGGAAAGAGAGCTTGTCCGATGGCACAGGGAGTGGCACGGCCGAGGCCCGGGCCCCCCGCCTGGGCCCCCACCTGGGCCCCCGCCTGGGCCAGCTCCGCACCAAAAGGTGAGGGCGTCTTCGGTCGGGATTCGTGAGCGAGGGAGCGAGTGCGTTTACCTGCCGCCCCCTCGTCTCTGGGGGCCTCGAGCAGGTGGCCTCGAGACCACTGTCCGGAGGGCCGTGGGACAGCCGTGCACAGCACAGCTCCGGCCGAGGCTCTGTGGAGTCTGTCACTCGCCTCCACTAATAGAAACAAACCCGTCATCTGGGTGATGATGATGGTTTTCGTGGTTGATAAGCCGCCTGAAATCTGGCCAGGCGCAATCGATTTGACAAAGTCGGCACGAAATGAAGGACAGATTGAAGTTTTCAGGAAGAGAAACCCAAAGACTTAAGACGCGTCGGCATGAACATCCCAGGGCCCCGTCCCCGACCTGGGCGTCGTCCGTGACCTGAGTGTCCTGGCGCCTCTCCCTGGCCGTCTGCCTGTTCCCACCTTCATCGCCTGTACTAGTGACGAGACACACCCCGGGAACACAGGCCGGCCATTCAGCTCCCGCCGAGAACACTGTCCTCACGTCTTCCTCCCCGGCCCACGGAACGTTAGGCCAACATGAAGGCAGAGCGGAGCCGGGCGGGCGGGTCTGCAGCTGCCCCTGGGGCCGCCGGTCCCACGGCCGACATCGCCACCGGCGAACGATCCTGAAACTGGCCAACGGCTGCCGCTGCTCGTCAGTTGGAACCGGCGCGTGAGGTGACACACGCGTGCCGGCCGGGTCCGGGCGTCTGCGGGATCACACCCTCCATCTTACACAGCGGGGAGCCGAGCCAAGCGTCCGGGGGCGTGACTGGGAGGCACTGAGTTTGTGGCCCAGGTCACACTTCCTCCGCAGACCGGTGAGCCTGGCCGGACCCAGACCCGCACGGCACGCTCTGCGCATTCTCGTGGCTTCTCAGGCACACCGCGTCCTGTCGCCGTGCCCCCTCTGCCGTCCTGCGGCCTGGGTGCTCTGCCTCGAGCCCCCTGGACTCAGGCCAGGGCCGCCCCTCGGGTCTCTGTGTAAAACCCAGCCGCTGCGGAAGCCCTGCCCTGAGCGGTCTGCGCCATCCGCTCTCCGAGGTGACCCTGAGCGTGTCTGCTGTCCCGCTGGCCCTCCCGCTTCCCGCTCGGGGCCATGGGCGTGTCCCCTAAACTGCGTTTGACTCACAGTCGCAGGCCCAGATTGGCTGGAACCGCCTTTGAACTTGGAGCGTGTACTTCCTACCTGTTTAGTTCCTTTTCTTCAATGTGGCATTTTATTCGACATGTAAAATTACTTGGAGACTCAAGATTCATTTCGCTATAAAATTCAGACTATGATCGAATGGACCAGCATTGCAACTCAATCTGATGACTGTGAATCGAAACATGATTTTTTTCTTTTTAGCCAGATTGGTTATTTTCCAGACGGGTTTAAGTAAATCTTATCCCATCCTGGCACAAAAAGGGGTCTCGACGGTAACTGAGCCCCAAGAAAGCAGTTCCGTCCGGTCGGCGGTCCCACGCACGTGTTGGTGCTGTGGGCGTAACCGAGATTCATTTCGTGGGTGCGCGAAGCAGCTTTTTTTTTTCATATCCGTCAGGTTTGGAACTCTCGAGACTAAATGTTCAAGGAGCACTGGGTTTTGGGAAACGACACGGATCTATTACGTGAATTACAGCGATGATTTAGACACATGACGTCACCGATTCACCCCCGGTACGAGAGAGCGAGAAGCTGCGTCTCGGAAAACCTGTTTCATCCAAGAACTTTCCAGAGGAATCACGTCGTCGTGAAGGGGAGGACGGGGTCGAGTCTCATCCTCACGCGGCTCCGAGGAGAGGCACCCATCGTGTTTTACTGCCCAGCTCTTAAGAATTTAAGAACAGCAGAAGCGATCCGATGCGCCGGCCACACTCACACCGTGAGCGCGGGTCACGGGGTGACGAGGGGGCGACCTGGGGACCAACGTGCTGTCGGCTTCCACTCGTTTACTTAGTCATTCCCTGGAAAAACAATGACGCGGTTCCCGCAGGATGCTGCCCGTAAACCAGCGAGGCAGGAGGGAAGACAGGTGCGCTTTCTGTCAGCGAAGAACGTCTGACCTCGTCTGCAGCCCCACGGCTGTGCCGCACGCCAGGGCTGTCACGGGCGCCACGCCCGGCGACAAGCGGTCAGCACCCCCCGTCCGGCCTCCAGGGAAGGGAAAGCAGCAGAGGGCCCGGGCCCTAAGCGAGGCGTTAACTGTATGTTCACGGGCCGCGTGTGGATGCCAAGCGGAAAACCGAGAGGATCGTGTAGTTTCCCGTTGTCGTCATGCCCGGCGCATAGTAGGTGTTGTGCTCAGTGGTGCAGAATGAGCTAACGAATCGTTAGTACTGGCTTCATAAAGTCGCTGAGGGGAGCGTTCCCCGTAGGCTAATGTGGGCAGCAAAGCCATGTGAGGTCACATCTGGTCCGAAGGACGTGATGTGAGGGGCACCGTGAGAAGCGTGCAAACGGGCAAGTCCCTCTGCGAGAAAACGGTTGCCGAGGACGCCCGAGCTGTGGTTTTCGGACGCACTAGCACCCATGGGTGAACGGTTATAGAAATATAAAAAATGCCCATCGAAAATCTGTTTTCAATCGTCATTTTAAAAATCTACTATTATAAAACTAATTCGCCAGTGAGTCGTGCATTTGTAATTCTTAAACGAGATCTACTCTGCGTTTTAGCGAACCTCGCCCGTCCGTCTGCAGAAGGACCGCTGTCCGCATGGGAGACGTGGCTCTGAGAGCTACCGCTTTTTTAACGTGTTTTTCGTTTTTCACAGTAATACATGGTGTTAGATCAAATAGAACAGTTGTGATGAACAACAGCAGACCCCTGTCAACCTTTTCCCATCTCCGATTCCTCCTCTCCAGAAAAAATTGCTTCCTACTCTGGAGACGTGTCTTCTGGTATTTACCATCGTCCTTCTCGACGATGTGCACGTTCTGCCATTCCGCGGTGTTTCAGATTTGCCCATCTACTGACGTCGTGTCGTGAAAGACCAGGTTTTATCTATCTTCCTAATACATTCGCATTTTCCTGTTTCGTTCCTCCCGATAAAGTTTTAATGTTTCTGTTGACCACGCGCTCTTTTTTTTGCTGTAAGTCGAATTGTCGTTCGCGTCCGGTGTGGCAGTGACCCCGCCTCCTTCCTCGTTCGCGGTTCGGTTTTTGCGTTTGCTGGCCTCCCGACACCTGTGTAGGGTGCAGTCTTCTGCACAGGCAGACCCGGCTCTGTCACGTGTCAGCTGCACCGTCTGCACCCAGCAGTGCCTGCCACGAAGCCTTGCTGGGGGCGGGAGCTCGCAGGGCCGGGGCGCGCAGCACCCAGCGACTGTGTCTGCCCCCCACTTCAGCCATTTTGCTCCTTGCTTTGTGCCCCATGTCACCCATCGTGCTAGGCGATTGGTGGCCCTTTATAATCCGGATGTACGTGACAGCAGGTTTGAGAGTTTTGGTCCATAGGTGATACTAGTACCCGAAGGACCAGTTCACAGATTTAATCTGTAGTGATTAA